TTCATTTGATTCATTTTCAAATTTCACAGCATCTATTTTTATATTTTCAAATGCAAAAAAAAAAAAATCATTTTGATGCGAATCGTTTTTTCTTCAGGAAAAGAGCTGGAGAAAAAATTCGGGATAGGATTTGAAAGAAAAACTTCGTCTTAATAAAGGGTTAATTACCAACGAGATTAAAGATGGTGGATTTACGACATGAATGATCCATCAGCACAGTAACATGACAAGCATGTGACATCAATAGAGGGGAGGCGGAAAAGAGCAGCTTTTGCCTGTTGTTGAGTAATAACAACTTACTGCAGCAATGTGGAGGAATTGAGTTTAGTGGGAGAGATTTACCTGCATTGTAGCTCTATTTAATGGGAAGGGAAGAGTTCCTTTGATGAAAATTCAAAATAGTGAAGGTAAAATAATTCAACCGAACCCATATTACTGCAGCAAACTCCTGAAAGGCACTTTTGAAAAATGGGATGGAGAGATATGCAAATTACTTCACAGCTTAATTCTAACTGTGTGCCGTATATCCTTTCATTAATTTAGCAGTCATTCAATGATGACAATACTAATTGATTCTTTCCCAGTGTTACTTCGTTCATTTTCAATTAGATCTACTGATGTGTAATCGCAATGTTACTCTCACAGATATCAAAAATGAATATCGGAATGAGGGGAATGACAGACACGAGTGCGGAAGAAGACGAAGAATGAATATTCAGAATGAGAGGAATTTCAACATTGTTATTAGTGTTATTTCGACGTTAGCGGTCCCCTCATTTTTCAAAAAATAGAATAAATTCCAAAAAAAAAAATCTGCATTTACTTTCAAAGTTAGAACAGCCATAATACAAAAATTAATATAATATCACTTATTTGTCTACCTTTACAAAACTTATTTTTAACTAAAATCGAATAAAACATAATCTGTCATATTTCAATTTAAACCTATCATATTCCAATTTAAAGAGTAAAGGGCAAAAGGAGAAATTGGTCGTGAACCCAAGCATACACAGTGGTACCTTCAAAACACACCAATATTGTACGACATGTGTTGTTCAGCTGATTTCTTTCTGATACACTTGTGATGTAGAACTGTCAACTGATGATTATATTACCCAAACTTTTGTGATCTGAACTGCGCAAAAGTCTTCGCCCTTTTTAAGAAAGATAAAAGTAGGATAGGAAAGATTACAAGATTGGTTACGAGTTTTGAGCGATAAAAAAAACAAACTAATCTATAACACAAAAGACTTACTGGTATGAAGTGATTTTAAGAAACATTAAAGGCTATGTAATGACTTTGAATATTCAAATATGTGCAAAATTGTTGCACGCAGAGTCTAAATCATTAAATTCCAACAAAACTAAGAGTAGTCTTATTATAATCTTACGAATAAAAGTTTGACAGAGAAAGACTCATTCATCCGCTCAATCAATTGGTTTAAATCAGTGAATTGTTAAACAATACAAAGATTTGTCCCCTTTCGGCAATTGTCGGAGAATACAACACTGACTCATCACTTCAATCGTCCTCCTCGAAATCACAGTAACACATTTCCAAACATATTTTGCAGTGCTCAACCGTTCCTCATCGAATCATAAAAGTATGCAAGCGGACAACACAGGTCAATGATTTCAATGATTACGTAAGATGATAAATGCATCGGGTTTTCCGCTTTCAACTTGAAAGTCCAAGCTATGTTCAAGGTTTGCATCTAAACCTAAGTTAGGCCCGAATTTATTGAAGTTTGATTCCTGAAAAGCTCGACATCGGATGAAATTGCATTTTAAATCTAGCCTGGCAAATTACAAAATGATGTAAGAATGGAGTCATGAATTCTTGACTGCCTTGACAATAACCTGATGATTATAAATTTAGATTCACTTTTCAGTAAAATTCAGTTTAATGGAACAAGATAGAAAGCAAGGGAGTGTTGGTTAGGATACAAAATAGTATTTAGCAAAATTAATCCAATAACTTAGAAGCTAGTTCAACTTCAAATGTTAGTCAAGCCAATTCGAAAGACAGAACCGATAACTTGGAAATGTCCCTGACAGTAGCTCGACCTGGAGTCAATGAAGCGCAAAAATTCCCAGTGGATTGATATAAGGATTGGTGAAAAAAGGAAAGGAAAAAATAGAGAAGAAGCAATAGCATATACGGTATAAATTTTTTCCTGCTCAAATTGAGTGATTGTGACAACTTCACATGTCAAGATGACATTCAGTTGCCACTGAAAAAAAAAAGTCAAAACAATGTCGAACAAAAATCCCAAACTTCAATAACAGAAATAAAATGAACTGAAATACATAGCAATTCAGTGAAAGTTCTTTCAATCAAATAGACAACATATGAATAAAGCATGAGAGGTGCTTTTGTCACTCGGAACTTCTTGGGCTTATGATATGTCACAATATTTTTTACACAACTCCTTCTTAGAATGACATACGGTTTTGTTTGTTTCGGTACTTATAAATTACTTATGAATTGTCTGAAGCGATTAATGATGAGAAATCAAATCAAACATTGATTATTTTGGTCTCGGTACTATCATCTCCTTAAAAAGTAACTACTATTCAAGATAAGAGTTCAACAGTACAAAATTAACTGAAGAAATGTTGTGGAATTAATCTTCTCCCTTCCTCTTAATAAACTTGCACGAAATCATTACTGCAATAGGATTACCTGTTGTTCACATCACAACGCACATTTTACCCGCTGCAAAATAATGGGATGATCGGCTATTTGCCTATTTATATATCACATCAGAAGCACTAGTACTAGTATTGTCCACTCTTCCGGAACAGCAATAATTTGTTACGTAAGCTCGGTCTGTGTATCTTCTATTGTCTCATCTTCCGCGCAATCAATTCTCATCTACGAAAAGATTAAAGTAATCTTTTTAAATTAGGAAAGCCAAAAAGTGTTAAAAGTTTCGATAGCAATGAGTTGGTAGAGGTGAAAAAGAAATGTCTTCAGGAATGAGGGAAAGATTTTGACTCACTTATGAGCCACTTATTATCAAGTATTATCATTTCCATACCTAATATCATTTACGAGAAGAAAACTATTGTCATTGAAAAGAGATGAACGAATTATTTGATTAAGAAAAGTTATTGGTGATATTAGTGAAAATTTTAGTTTCGATAAATTTCAACCACTAGATGATATAGCAATAGGAAATTAGCAGATTTTTTTCTTTTTGGTGAATTTGTGGAGCAGTAGGGACGGCATCTGTTTGGACACCTTGGAATTATCAAGCCAGAAATAAACATCAAACGTCGGTTGCATAAACTTAGCAAACAGAGTCGACAAAAATTTAACAACAGATTTAATCTTCCTGAATTTCAGTTTCACCTCATTTTAAATCGTAATTTTGGTCCCAAATATAACTTTATGAAATTTCACGTCATAAAAAACAATACATACTGAAATTATCAACAAAATGTTGAATAATGATGATAAGGAAAGGAGCAACGACGGGTTTTAGCTGAATGAAAAGGGAAAAATTTCGCTAATCTCAAGTTATAGGTTTGGAAATTGAATCCATTTGACGACGTCAATAAACAGCTGTCTCATCATTTGATTACGAATTGCTCAGAAGTTTGAATGTGTAAGAATTTTAAAGTAAAATGAACAAATCTCCGATTGGAAATAGAAACTGTGATGGGTGCATAAAAAAGTTGGACAGATGTTGTAACCTGAAATGGCAGCAAAGATTGATTTCTTCAGTAAGATATAAGATCATTCTCTCGCTTTTTAAACAAACTTCATGAAATTCATTAAGCATATCATTTAATAGGCATACACTTTCACTAAGCTATCATTTATTATTCATTTACTTTTCCGCTTATTCCTCTTATTATTTTAAATCATGAAGGTGGACAACGCAATTATGTTGTGACCATTCTTAACAAACAGTTGTGAAGGATGTGCGAAGGTCAGTGAGATAAAAAATAAACTAATTAAGATGTGCAAAATTAAGCTGATTGCAAATATGAATGTAATACGTACGAATATATCTTAGTCTTTTAACTTTATCCAACATACATTTCAGTAATGAAGATAGGAAGAAATGGTTCGAAAATGGGTAATTGGGTGAAATTAATAAAACAATAGAAACAATTTGTCATTACTGAAGTTCAAAACTGTCCCAATTATTGCTCTTTCGTATCATTCTTCTTAATGACAGCAAAAGTTATACTATCATATCATACTCAATTATCAACTTCAATATTTCCCTTCATAATTTATTTGGTTTTCCTTGTTCGTACGACTAAGCTTTTTGCAATTCCTTATAAAATTTAAGAGTACAAAATAAAAATGAATTTTACTTCGGAAATGTTAGTTTATGCGGATTTCTTGTAGATATAAAATTTTAACTTGCAGTTAACTATTCTTCACCAAAAGAGACTTATAATGCCGGATACCAATAACCATTTCACTTCTATTTATCGCGAAATTGTATAAATTCGGTCGATATCATGATGAATAAAATTCTTTTGATGTTTGGAGAAAAGGTGATCCTACTCAACAATATCTGTTCCACTCTCTATATTATTGGGAAATTTCACTGTCACGTCTTTGTCCCGTATCATTTTCTCAATCCATTACTATTACCTCTTAGTAATGGTCAATGACAGAAAAAGACAGTAAAAAAGACAGATTTCGAACATTAGAAGGGTACAAGTTAAATAAGTATTTGCAAACTAAAATAGCAGAAGAGTGTTGTTAATAATACAAAAGTGAAGTTGTTGGAAGGTAACACTGCAGGTAAGACAGCACGGAGAATAGTCATTATATCAATGATGACCTTTGACTTTTCAATAAAAACAGGAGAAATAATCTGGGATGAGTTAGTGGGAGACTAGAAAATGAATCACCAACAAACAGCTTTTGAGCTGACCGCTCCGAACACGGCTCAAGACGAATTGTAGTAATGTGACTACTGAAATATGATACTGACCTTCCATTAATACTTGAAGGCCTTCAAAAACTACTTTATGCTCATAAAATTGTTCATCGATGAAAAAGAAGCTCGAGCAGAAGTCAAAACATTGTTGTGCACATATGGCCAACACTTTCGACTGATCATTTTTCATATGGAAACCGGAAGCGCCAATGCCGGGTTACGGTCGAATTACTGTTCACATAAACGGGGAAAATTCTGCTATTCTCGCATCAATAGGTTCATTCCACATTTTCAAATTTTAAGTTTAAGTGTCAAATTTTGAACACTTTTCAAATACGTTTTCAAAAGAGTGTGCAAAAGTTGTGATAGCTACAACACTAAAAATTCATTTCACTAGAATCCATTTTTTTAATTGCTCTCTTTTCGACAAATGATCTCCTTATGACTGTCACTTTATTCCTTTGACGAATTTTTTTTAATAATTTCTCTCTACCATTTCAAACATAATTTTTATATAAAAAGCAAATTTGGCATGTATTGCATATTTTTAAAGCAAAGAAGCAAAGACCAAATTGTATCGCGAGAAATATTTGTTCTAAACTATGAGATAACCAGCGCAAATTGCATGAAGTCAAGGAAAAATTCAAATTCAAGCTAGCGTTAGAGACACGACAAATTCAAGATCGTAAAGCCAAAAAGAGAACGAAAAGAGCTACAAGTAAGTATAGCGCGCGTGAAAAAGATAAGTCATTACAAATATTTTCAAAGACAATGAAAAATGAAAAGGACAAAAAGATGAGAATGAGGAAATAACAAAAAATTAAAGTCATTTTCCGGCCAACAAATGATATCTTCCATGGTTTATCACAAGTAAAATAATGTAAAGAACAGAAATTGGATGAAGGATGAAGGTAAAACTGTCATTACAAAAATGTTGTTGGAAGATCGTTTGGAAATAGATGTAATGATTAAATGCAGTTTAGTTCACTTCAGTAAGCATAAACGGTTAGTTATTATAGCAATAAAGACCTGGAAAAGAAACAAGCCTGACCATCTCACCTTTTCTTATTTTACACTCCAACTATTGAAGATGAAAGTTCATCGTAAGTTAAGAGCAAGGAAGAGACACACACACAACTAACCCTTCGTTTCCAAACGGTAAGCGAAGATGGTGTCTCATCAACAAGTTGAATCTTCTTTGTTTCACCCAAGAATTTTAATCTATCATAAGTAGCGCTCTCTTTTGCCAAATCGATACTTTCCATAGAGAAACATGTGCGGTTACCGACACGTACATCACTACTGTTCTGAATTTCAAATTTCAATGGAAAATTAAATAGATGGAAAGATCGGAAATTTTGAAATAAATCAAAGAACAAAATCAATCATATGGAGAAAATATTGATTGTTTTTACAAAAAACTCCTTTTAAGAAAAGGAAACAGCGGACAAGATTTCTGTTATTGAATACAACAGGTTCTACCACTCTCATTCCTTTCATCTTCCTCAATAGTTTGAATAATGCAAAGTGACAAGCTAGGCCTTACTTATCGTCTCAATCCTACTTTTACCTTATCCTGAAATAACTCACCAACTGTCACAAAGTGAAGCTTTGAAATGAGAGAGCCTATGGCAACATAAAAACTAAAAGACCCACTTTCGCATTAGCTCCATCAATATTTCTTCGCCATTGCATATCATTTGAGGTCGTATAACCAGATAATTGTCCATGGACTGAATTTGGCATTCGTGAGAAACGTTGGTATGGTTTCATATCCATAGTTAGAGGTAAACTAGTTCTAGGTACCGGTAAGCCGTCATTTGATTCTATTTCGCTATTCTTCCACTTTGGTTCCGAGTTACATTCAGAAAAGTGATTTTCGACACTCGTAAATACCGGTAGATCTCCTGTGCCAAATCCCGAAACTTCGGTATCAGAAATGATTTCGATCGTTGGAGCGTTCTTTTGATGCAATTTTAGATATTTTTTGAATGATGAATATTTTTTTCGGGACAAGAAACGCCACAAACGTGATGATTCATTGTTGCTACTTTTATTCTTAGGATTGATATGATTTTGCAAATTTGCTCTATCATTATTGCTACCAAATCTTGGTGATAAAAAATGGACTTCTTCTGATCTTTTCGGATTTTTTGGCGCGCTGATAACGACCGCATGTGCAGATTGTTTGCGACGATTCGATGGCCGCGCTGTTAGTACTATTTGTGCTGTACAGGAAGTTTCAGGAATGTCCGCTGATTGATGCCAAATGTCCTGAAAGGAAGCAATTATACTTATGATATTATGGCCATAGAGTTCATTCCATCCTAATTTGGCAATAGCTTGAGGAATAATTTTCATTTTAGGCATAAAGGCGAAATAACATTTTGTTTCTCAAATTAGCCTTTCTATTATTAATTCAATTTCGATTTTAAATTCATTTTCCGCCTCATTTCACTCTTTGAAAATACCTTGTAGAAGATATTGTTAAATGAGAAAAAAGAGAGAGAATAAAAAGAATGAATGAAAGAGTATTAATAATGCTTGGTTATATGCAGTAGTAAAGCAAATAAATGAATATGTCCCAATCCTTGTCGTGAAATTTTGTCATTGAAAGTGCATGGAAAAGATCATTTCCCCTTTAGTGGTTAGATAAACAGCACCAATAATTGGTGACATAGGAAAATAGCTTTCAAAATCGCCTATTTTAGTTATATCATTTTCCAGTGCATTTATCTTTCTTGCTTCTTTTGTTTCTCTATGCTAAAAGTCATCAAAGTTTTTTGAGCAGAAGGACTTTTGGAAGAGACCAGTTGATAAATGCAACGAAAGTTTTACTAAAGATGAATGATAAGAAGAGTTTAAATCGCAGAAATTTCATTGCAATTTTATTCGCTTTTTTAATATTTAATTCTGTGATGAAAAATGGGTCCTATTAATCACTGATGAAAATAAATAAACGATACTTTTTTAAGGGAATTTCTTTTCTGAAATTTTGCAAAACGACTGGGACTGGATTTCGATGCAATTTTCTGCGTCCAATAACCACTTTGCGATTTGTTATCATGAGATTGCGCTGATAGCGTCGAATTCATTACACCCATTTCGAATGAAATATTTGAGTCATTTTCTAATGGCGATTGTATATTTCGCTGAAATTGTAATTTCTGATAAATTAAAGTGAATAAAAATTAAATTAGAAGAAACCCTCACTTCCTGTTATCTCTGAAAGATTTTATTCAATACTAAACAGATAACGAAGTAGTATACGTATGAAATGACAGCCTTAATTACTAATAAAAATTTGATACTAGGAAAACAACTTTAGCAATTTTGCAAATTATTTGTAAACTGACTGCTGCTCAATCAATTATCAAAATGAATATGTACCTCTAATGGATCACATTCTGGATTATTCGGACTTGATATATTAGTATCAGTAATAGAGCTAATGATATCAGTAATAGCAGCGGAAGTACCAGTACTGATAAAAGGTGATGATTGCGAAGTTGGCTGTCCGGTTAAATCAAAACTACTAGACGGCAATGAGTCTATTTCGGCGAGAATTTGCGATGTCCACCTGGAAAAAATATGCTTATATTCATCATACGCATTAAAAGTAACGGTTATTTTAAAAAAAGTGTGAAAAATCAAAATGAGTTAAATCCCATTAATAGTTGGCTTACCTTAATCACAAGCATGAAAAAGAAAAATAGGACGAATTAAATCAGGATTCAAAATAACTCTTCCAGACTGTACAGATCTCTCCATAACAGTTCGTCCGTATCAGTGTGACAACACGAAATCAGTTTCTACCGCAATGAACACAAAACTTTTTTTACACCTATTTTATCCAGAAACAAATTGTTATGGTACGGTGGACTTTTTTTTTTTTGAAAACTATCCACTAATTATTGCTGTTGAAGTAGAATATATCCGGATAACAGAATGTAGAAGATTAAAATCTCACGTCAATTTTGTGCTAAATTAAATAATCACTGTGAGTTTCTCCGCCACATTTCCAATGAAAGACAAAGTAAAATCAAAAGAGTTGATAGATCAAAAGTGGTAAATTATTCAAACAATTCTTCTTTATTCAATTACCAATGAGCGTTTTTTAAATTGATTTGTTCGTTAAGCTGTTTTAAGTTATTACTTAGAGCTAGTAGAAAGTTATTCGAAATTCAACGGGGTCATGTGATCGCTTAGAACTTTTGTTAATGTTGATGTAACCACATCACAAATAATATGAAGGGATTGGGAATTGTTGGAACAAATATTATTGGATTATAAAAATGAAGAATGAAGAAGTGAGACAGAAAAGTTGTAAGTAAATTTAGAAAAATACCTGGTAACAGAATCTTGATTAGTAAAGTCGATCATCGTTCCGTTCAACTCCCGGACAGACATCGAACGCCGAATACGCGTATCTTTTTCCGGCTGTGTGTTGTTAGTATGAATATCCAATCTGAATAAAATGAAGGAGCAGTTAGGAAAATCTAAAATTGTGGCATTTTGCTTTCGATTTGCAATACTGTTGCACGTACCCTGCTTGTGATCCTGCTTTCGTTTCCAGTTGATTATTGGCGAATAAATTCAATTTATATCGAAGTGTACGACGATGAGCTTTTCGAGCTGCTGGTCCTTAGATTTCATATTAATTCTTATTATTGCAATTTACATATTATCTCTAATTATTACATCATTATCTTGGGTTTTAATTTAGCGCCAGTAAGCAATGAATAATTAATTATATTACTAACATAAATCCATAAGCTCACAAGGAGGCTATTTCAAAAGACATATAGTGCTTTGATGGAGGATCATCGATTGACAATAAATATTTGAGTAGTATTTTATCCTCTAAAAGATGAAAATAACTGGCAACACCTTATATCGTCAAAATAACAGATAATATAAAAGCGGTTCCTTTTGAAAGGAGGTGGAAGAAAAATAGCAGCAGTAAGGAACCTTTAAATTTGTGGAATGTATCAACAGGTTCGTTGGATGTTGATACCCGTGTTGAAGTTGATTTGCAGCAAATTTCTGTTGTCGATCGGGTAAGCAAACTGGAATAAACATAATTTTGCCTCAGTGAAAGGAAGGCTGCTTCCGCTGGTGATGTTACGCCACGTGCGGTTGTTGATTGACCCCTCTTCCTTGTTGTTGCTAATTGATTCTGTAAAATTACGCAGATTCTATGAATTTCCACAAATTTCGCATAGTTTTTCATAAAATTGTTGCAAATTTAATACTGGAAACAACCTGCAATTTAGTATTTCATGAAGGTTGGTTAGTACTGCTTCAGGAAATCTATAAAAACATTCCGAAAATGTTATATGTTCCATCAGTATGAACAAAAGGCTAAGGTTAAAGTCGCTGTAATGTTATCAATTAGTGTATAAACAAATTTTGCACAATGAAAAGAAATTTACTGATATTTTCCAAGAGCTTAAGAATCAAGAAGTAAATACTGAAAATAAAAGGACAGATGAAACTAAGCCTTACTCAGTGAATCGGTCATCGTCACAAGCACTTTCCCTTTCTGACCGTTTCGTTTTTTGGTCATCTCAGTATTAGAATAAAATACCTTTTGATATTACTTACCGATCGTTTTCTTTGCTCTCTGATGTTGTCGCTATCACTGCTGCTTGTTGTATATTCTATTTTGTGCACTTTATTTAAAGCGGAGGTTGATCTCGATGTACGTTCTCCACAAATTCCGTCAGTTAAATTACGTCGTTGACGACGTGTAAAACGCTTACGACGTGATGATGCGTAATATTCTGCACCTACTGCAATATTTTCCATAAATTCTGCATATTTCATCGAAATTTTCAAACTTTTTTCTTTTCTTTTACAAAGTCTTTTCTGGGATTTTCTTTTTCAATTTTTTTTTTTTGGAAACTTCCTTTATGCTCTGAAACCTTTCGATTTTATGTGAGTTCTTTTCCAAGAACACTTTTGTTAAGGAAGGTTCTGAAAATTTTCGAAATATTCACCTCTACATTTCAATTTAACTTTAAACTGGAATTCGAATTAATTAATATGGTAATGCTGAAAAGTATTATGGTAGCCTTCAAATAAATAAGAACCCAATTTGAAAAATCTTTTCACCTTACGAAATAGCTTTTTTCGAAATAGTTCCAAACTTTTCGAAAATAGCTTTTTACGAAAATATGAATAGCTTTTTTTTCGTATTACTTCCAACTTTTCTTGAATTAGCCCATGAAAACTAGAAAATGGCTGTTTCTTCTCGAAAACCGAATTTACTTCAAAAGCGCTGATTTCTGAACGTACCTGGTCGGTCATCATTTGATGATGAGAATGACTGTAGAGGATTCACTATGTCACGTTGGGATGCGAATACAACAGAAAAAGAATTCTGTCGGTAAACGGAAGACGAATGAAGATCTGATGATAACTGACGCTGTCTAAAAACATATAGGTGATATACGTGAAACGGATTGATTGCACAGACGAACAGAAGGAAATATCAACTTCTCAATTGAATTTATTAATGGCATCAGAAATATCTTTCATTACCATTTAAGTTTGCTTTATTTCTACTCTTAAAAAAGGTAATTTTATGGCCTTTTTGAGGAAATTCTTCGAGACTTTGGACGGTTTCCATAATTCAGTTATGAGCTGTAAACAGAAAAAAAAGCGCTTAGCGGAAATACTTTCTGGTTCTGACTTTCTGGTTTCTGGTTACTTTCGTAAACTTTCTGGTTACTTTTGCCATGTCAATCATTATTTCACAATATGTATATGTATCAGAAATTGATGTAAAGTGGTGGAAATAACTGTAAATTAAACATGACACTGACTATCGCTGGCTCTCCAAAAACTTCTCATCTCGTAATTAACAAATATTCTGGCCTTGTAATCTTGAATATGAAGTGAGAGGGCCTTCCCATATCTTCGGCCCATTTTCCTTTTAATTTTTCTTCTTACCCACTTATTCGTCCATCCGTAGATTTTTTGATCAAACAAAATCCATTTTATGCCCTTTCATGAATATGCACACTAACTCAGTGGTTCCCAATCTTTTCTTGACCAGGAATTACCTTTGGGTTTTTTATTTATAGCAGAGACCATAAGTTTCAAAATTTTAATTTAAAAATAAATTTTAGTCAAAATTTTTAACATATTAGTTTGTCAAACATTGATAAGAATAATCCCCGCCTGTTTTCTACTCACCGCTTTGTCGTCCCAGCGGATCACCGGTCAACCAATTATGGAAGACTGGAAGAGAAAGCAGAAAATTGCTTGGATACTCGAGGGCGCAATATGAAATTTTCTACAAATTTTAATTATTTTTAGACTCAGGTTGAATACCCAAATTAGAAGCGATGTTTAGAAATGTTTTCAAATTTTTCAATCACCGAAGAATTTTTTAAAAAAAAATGGAACTGTTTCTATCAGAAAAATCAACCATTTTAAATCTTCAACTTTTCCAAAAATAGCTCTGAAATCAAAGTTTTCATTTCGGTAGCGGATAGAAAATGGTATAAATTCGACTAACTTCACGTATATCAAGGATTTGAAAGTCCTTAATGTGAAAAATCTTTGGATATGAGTCTTGCAAACCCTAATCAAATCCCCTGAGGTTTTAAAGCATTTTAAATCGACAAGAACCGTAGATGGATAATAGACAAGATCTAATATATGAAATGGAGATGAGCGTAAATTAGATAAAGCGCCTTAAAACCATAAGAAGAGTGACTGACAAATGGTCTAACTAGGGCAACTAAGTCATTTCTCGGTCTACCATCCTATCTTCTAACCAAACAAAATGACCCATTGTGACTTCAACAATTGCTTTCAAGATTCCCTGGAGTAATTTCATTAAGAAATTCTTCTCCACATGATGTTTAACAAGCATTTTCTTGAATTTATAATTCCAGTATCCTGTACGACGCAAACAGACAAGACTAAGCGAGGCTATGTTAGTTTCAAATTTTTTTTTCTAATTTCCTTTAGTCGCGGTTATTTTAACATACTCTAATAAATTTGATTTAAAAGGCAAAAAAAAAAATCAAACCGTTTCAGTAAATTACTCTTTCTATTGTCGTTTTTAACATTTATTGATGCAAGTTCATGGAGACTTTGCGATATGGCATCCTGAAAGAAAAAAAAAACTTATTTTTAATTTGAAGAGCCAAAACTTAAAAACGATAGGAATGATATTAGTAATATGTGATAGTCATCAACAAATCCTTTTGGAAACTTAATTTTCTGAAGACACTTGACAATCCTTCTAAAATTATTCGAATGAATTTTCTTCTCAAGTTGAATTAACCTAGTGAGATTGTGCATTTCGAGAATATCGAGTAAATATTGTGACAGATGAGTAAAACTGAAATTTAATTTAAATCGATTAAGTCTGAAGGAATGTTACGAAAGTAATTTATTCCTAAATTAATTTTTTTTTTGTGGTAAAAAAATAAAGCAAACTTCTAGCATAAGAAAATAGGGAATGTTTAAAACGTCTGAAAGTTGAAACTTAGAAGAGAATGTGGACAACACTTTTTAAGACGATGACTGAGAGATGGTTCAGACTTTGCCAGTCATTAACAGATCAGAATTTTAACAAATTCTGATTCAAGTTATGATCACTTTATCTACCCAATCCCGCTGTCCAAAATCTCATATTCTAACGTGAAATTTGTAAACATGTAAAAGTGAACAAAGCCTATAAAACGAATGAAATCCATAAATTCATTCGTGACGTAATTTTCGTGAAAATTTTCTTACAAAAAAAAAGAGAAAAAAAGAAAAAACAAAAGGTCATTTCGACGAGAAAAGAATTTGTTAACTTTTTTTTTCGATTCAGTGCATACATTCCCATAAACAAAGAGAATGGTGAAGAAAGATGAAAAAAATTCAAAAGGTTACTTTAACTAATTGTATGTAACCTTTCTCTTCGTACAAAAATGTCAACGTGTTCGGTAAAATAACTCACGTGATACGTGCAAATAGGAGTGAAGGTCACTGAGACATGGCATGATTTGTTCCCTTCTACAACAACAGTTTGGGGAAAATTTCGCCAAATGTTAATGAAAAAAGAAGAGGGTAAGAAAGAGAATACAAATGTGAGGTAAGATATGGATGAACTGGTACAGAATAATTTTAACCAATGAACAACAAAAAGCTTATTTGAATGTAAAAAACGTGCAGTTCATTTATTTAACATGCACTCACTGCAACCGCTTTTTATAGCATGCAGATTTGAACGACTGCATGACAAAGAATGCCAGTTGGAGTAGGAATGGAATGGGATGGTGCAAATAATGCCAAACCAATCTTGTGCAGACAATGCTTAGATATTAAGCAAACATTTTCCAAATTTGTCACGATAAGGCGGTGCTATATGTATGTTTGCAGTGTAACACTTTTGATCTGAAATAGCATTCGACTAAACGGAAGTTATTATAAATGATTGTGAATCATGAAAAGGGATGATGACATCAAATGCGGTCATGAGAGCTTCATTCATAAAGGAAACTCCTAAATCAAATTAACTGGCTTGATTAATAATGAAAGTTATTTATTGCTTTTTGGAAAAGAAGGAAGAAACAAAAGTGATTTCTTTAGCTGATGTAATGACAAGTGACATAAGCAGTTGAAAGTTCTGAAAATGACGAATCACGAACTTAAGTTTTTGAACTAGCAATGGAAAGTTGTTCAATTAATATCCATGATAATGTAGTTTTCTTCAAGATTCATTAAAATGAAATTAAATTAGAAGAAATTGAAGCAGATTATTGTCAAATATATTATCCAAAATAATGCCGAGAATTCAAGTTAGCATCCTCAGTAAATCGCTGAAATCGATTTTTGAAATTGGAATACAGTATTGGCAATTAATTTATCCAATATGTGATCTCATGAATGGACCAAATAGTACGAAAGTAATGAAGTCATTACTTTTTTGAAACTCTATTTCAAATTTATTTTCATCTTTCAAAAATTGACACAATGATAAAGCCTTGAACAAGCCACTGTTTTCGGAAGAATTGGGTTAATTGCATCAATTTTTGAGATTAGTAGCAGCAGTCACAATTATAATTAATTAGTAATCACCTAAGTAATTAGTAATTAGTAGGTTTTAATCATTAAAAATTTATTAGTCATTTCGTCAGAAAAGATTTTCTTTGCAAACCGTTGCAAACAGAACGAGGCCCAGCACATCAAAAACAGTTCGAAGTTAGAAAAAACAGAATGTTTCAGAGGAATTAGTTTTAATAGCTCGAAATTTAAAAACTCCTGAATTAAGTTGAACTAATGATATCCCTCTATTACTTAATCAAGAATTTATAAGTGTAATCAGTTTCGATTATCAGAAGTACAGAACAAGGATCATTGGCCAATGAATCACTTATCACCAATATACTAAGAGTGTTGCTTTGAGCTCAACCTTATTCGTTAGAACTGCAAAATCTGTTAAAGAATAAAACTATGATATAAAACTAGAGGTGCAAGATTCAGTTTTATAGCTATGTTCTGATTAGGCTAAACAACTTCATAACTAGATCGTTATATGGCCATGTTTTTATGGCTCAGCCTTCTCACCTTTACATGGTTGAGTTACATGGCTGACCCTTCTGACCTTTTATCATTTTATCTTTCGCAATCTTCCATCGATTGTGGAACCTGTGGAGAACGAAATGATAAGTTTTGCAAGTATGAGAAATGCACGCCAACGAAACGGAAGCTAAGTTCTGTAGAAAGTTATACAAATATGACTGCCTCTGTCTTTGATATACAACAGACACACACACAAACACACACACACACACACATACATACCTACATACATACAAAGATAGATCAGGACAAATAGAGCACAAAGAAGGATGTTGATTTCGTTCCATAGTGATAACTAATTGCTTTCTGTCACTTATCAAATTTTTATGAAAACGAACTATTTTATGCCAAAAAATACCATATCCTCTGCAAATTCATTTACATAACAATGAAAGAAATGATAAGAAAGTGTGATAAGACGAAATTTGTTTGAAAAGATCAAAGGAAATGACCGATAAAGGCACACCTGTGCTTTCTGAAGATAGCAGTCAGCTTCCCAGAATGGACTGCGTCTTCTTTCATATTTCATCGCCATACTATTAAATTGTTACTATTTTGCCTGTAAATTCTTTTTGTAAGCGAAACTTAAATGTAAAATCATAAATCGATGGTACAACCAAATTTTTTGATGTTTCGATCAGAGATTATCATAATGTCTTAGCCATTTTCTTTAGAAATGTAAATGCCATACGAAATTTTTTTTACAAAAATGAAAAATCAATACTTCAAGCAGGAAGTAGAAGCTTATTTGCGCTATTTTAGGCATCAATTTCGATTACAGAAGCACTTCAAACTAATCTGAGAACAGTTTGCCCTACAATGCGACTATTGCTCGGAATCAAGCATAAATAGCTAATGGCGTTGATTAGAAATACTGATACTGATAATGATGAAACGATATCAGCTACAGTTGACATTTTCATTCAATAGTCTTAATGAAATTAAAATGGATAAAAGCTGTGTTGTTGGAATGTAAAATCGTTCGAAATGATATTGCATTAGTAGAGGGAATGACTTGGAACGAGAAATGGACAGGTTGTTCAATAACGAATAGTAAATGATTCACAAAAAAAAAAAATTTCCCTAATTTACTCCTATTTCCTGTTTTAATAATGACTGCACTTCAGATTCAATAATGAATAAACAAATAACGAAGGGAATTTTTACAAATAATTAATGAAAGTAAGTAAACAAACAAAATACCTGGTTAATTTTTATGGATTATCTTTTCTTGACCGATGACCAATCGTTTTCGTTCAAATCATATCATTTTTCATGAATAGGCTGCATATATAACGGAATAATAATTGAACAAATAAATAGAATAAATATTTAACCGCATAAAAGAGATCGATTATTTGAAAAGTATCATAATGGATTACAAATTTGTTTGGGAGTACCTTAACATCATTACTATTAATTAACAAAATGAAAAACCATTTGTATAAATTGTCATCAAAACTGCTACTTACCTTAGATCCTTCACAATGTACTATGAACTGGTTGTCCATTTCGGATGGACATGATCTCAACTCCAATATCAGCTTGTTCCGCTCACAATTTGTTTTCAGGGCTTTATGAAATGATTAGTCTTGACCTATTTTATTCATTCTTCCATTTCCAACTGAACCGACATATCCATTTTGAAATTCAAAGGACTTTAATGAATGGAACAGATTTCATTCTGAAAATTCCTTTTGCAAATACTTAAAAATAGGAATTATGGAAATTCGTGTTCAATAAACGAATTCAAAAAGGGGAAATTTTATTGTTTGCAAAATTCTTTTTCACCAAATGTCAATTACATCAGAGTAAATTCAGAAAATAATTGGCCGACGAAGGTTTCTGTCAGTCATTTCTATTCACAAACACTTTATCATTTCTCTGATAACTTTTACTTCTTCCAGTCATTATGAAATGTATTTGAGAAAGCAAATCATTCATAAGTCCGTCAATGAATTAGCTTACAGTATTGCATCTCATTCGCATCCTGTGTTGAAACTTCTTAGTGATTTTTTTTTTTTGGAGTGATATGAGTATGTAAATCATGTGTGTTAGCAATGGAGATATGTAAGTGCGAAATGGATTTTTTATGCTAAAGTCCAGAATCATTGGATTACACATATCATTCTAAATTCATACCAAAGATCATTCTGTTTATTAATCTCTGCTCTTCCCGTCACTACTCACTTTCCTTTCCTTAGAAATACCACATTAGATGACAAGATAAGACAATAAAGAAATTAGCAGCATAATTCAGTACGAAATATATTATAATAAGTAGCATCCAATTTGCCACAAATTTGATCGCTTGGAAACAAGTTGAGTTGATATTTTAACGTAAATATTTTTCAAAGAAATATAAATTAATAACGGAAAATAATCTGAACAGGAATTGATATTTTAACAAAATAACAATATGGCAGTGATATGTCGCAGTTTGAGATCTAATTCACAATATTAATACAATATCTAACGGTGTTGACTAGAAAAAATTATGCAACTGTGTAGCTGGACGGAAAACAGTCGGTGCAATCCTCGTGTCATATTTCAAAACGCTACTGGATCGGATCCGTTTTATTTCTTTCCATATCAGTAGCCGGATTTGATATTCAACATTGTGAAGTTACTTCATAATATGATATACTTTGTAAAATAATGCACGATCATCCTGACATTTAGGCGAAGATGTGACACCAGTAAAGGGTCGAATTCTTGCCATAACTGTAAATCATCGGTAGTTATGATCGGTTCCAAAGCTATGAGGAAATTCTGAACAGCATGAAAATGGATTGCAAATACCAGTTGTGAAAATCATTGCTCTTATGTTAATGGTAGTCGTAACAGATTACGTACCGATGGAATATTCTCTACCAGCCATATCAAGTGCAGGAGTTCAATCACAATCGATGGTGTTCATTACGACAGAATCATGTAAGGAGACACAGCTGACATTTGTCGAGGTTTTTATGGTAGATTAAACAGTAAATCGTTGTTTATATGGTTTCATACAATTTACATGTTAAAACCCTCAATAAGGTATGATATCTGATATATTGAGTACCACAGGGAATTCGTAGTGTGATAAGTGTCACATGCAATCATAATTAGTTAGTACTGTATGGAATTATAGTTATTTTGCAGTGAATTTTAGGAATGAATTCTATTGCCATAATGAGATTTTCCAGCCTTGGAAATTAAGGAGCAATAAATTCTTCTCATTCAGGATAATCAATAATTTTTATATGAAGCAAT